TTTTGCTGTAATACTATCACACAGGTGCGTGGACCACCCAAAAATCAAATATGATACCATCCTCAGCCTTCAAATTAAGCTCATGATCTCCAATACAAATTGAGTAACGATAAAGAATATGTAAATTTTTTTAACTTCACAATCCTCATATATTATCCTCCAAAAGCATGCGTTTCTTACTGGAAGTCTCCTACATTCTAGTAGAAAGCATTGGAAGATGCATTAATAAATCACCAAAATACATAACATGATCAAAAATGTAGGCGGCATAGCCTACTGATCCATTCTGTCAGCGATTCTCAAACCACTTTATCCAATTCGGGGTCTCGGCAAGCGACAGACACAAGGTGGGGGTACACCCTGGACAGGACACCAGCCCACTGCAGGACACACCCACACCCACACACCCACACACCCACACACCCACACACCCACACACCCACACACCCACACACCCACACACCCACACACCCACACACCCACAATCAAGCCAGGGCCAATTTGTCCAGAAGCTAATTCACCTACCAGTCAGTCAGTCTTAGGACTGTGGCAGGAAACGCATGTGCACATGGGGAGAACATATAAGCTCTAGAGCCAGACAGCACCCTGGGTCTGGAATTAAGCCCAGGGCCCCAGGGCTGTGAGGCAGCAATGCTAGCTGCTGTACCACCATGCCACCCTAGCCTCCTTGTAATATCTGTGAATATGCAGACTGTTATTTTTCCAGGAATTCCACCACTTCATACTTCTGGGTCAACTGTTGTACACTATACAGAGTTCTCTGTACAGTCAGCAGGATTTGTAAAGCAGACTTGAGAGGCTGCTTTCCATTTACGAGACGGGAATGGTTCTCCGAGTAATATTTTAATGATATACGTACAGCCAACTGTCAGAGTACACAATTTTCGGAAGAAGATTAGTGTAATTCTTTAGCTGGTATGTTAAGAACCTGCATTCAAAGCTAGGCTGCCAGTAGACTATTATCTACTATTATCCACTGACCAGAAGCCTTGAAATTAGACCAGGAAGACTGAGCCAACATTAGACACCAGATGAGGGTTTCATTCATTTCAAACCAAATCTCTCCTCCAGACACACTTATGGCACTACACACAGAAGATTAGCGACGAACACCAAGTATTGAAACATGTAAAGACAACAATTGAATCTGCATTGAGAAAATGTCAGACTTTGCTTCTCTTGGAGAATGGTGAAGGGGTCAGACTCCTTATAACCTGCCTGATCTTCCACGAAAACACTTTCTCGGGTCTGTCCTTGATATGATTTTTGTTTAGGTAGTTTGACTACATCCCACACACACACACACTAAAGAGCATTGGTCAAGCACGCCGAAAATCACAAACGGCTGAACGAAATTCTCCCGGCTCAGCAGAGAGAACATTTTTGCTCTCGTGCCAACATCATCGCTAGACAGGTTGGTTATCTAGACAGAAAGCGCTGCCATAAAATTCACTGTGGCAGAAATAGGATGTTCATCAACAATCTCCCTATAGAGTAAAAAAAAAAAAAAACTCTCGTCTGCCAGGCTCAAGGAAACAGCAATGACCGGTCTCACGCCTGGTGAGATTCTCAAGCATTCAAGTGGGACAATCGCTGTCCTCGTTACTGACTACGTGGACCAGCTCCCTCCATCTGTTGCGGCTTGTCTGGTTATGCGGCCGCGAAACCATTTGTCTTCGATACCTCAGAGGAGGGAAAATATGCTCAGTAAGGTTCTGCAAGCAGCAGCATGTCTGCTTGCGGAGCGCAGCAGGCCTGCCCCGGGCTGGTCACAGTTTCGAGTGAGAGGAGCTCACAGGCATGGCCGGCAGTGCAGATCACCAAGCAGCAGATCAGCTCCGGGCAGAGGGCCTGCAAACTTCTGAGCTGTTCCGAAACCAGCGCTCGGCCTCGAGGGGGGGTGGGGGAGGAGGAGAAGTCGCACAACTGGCTGAGCGATGATCACCTTGCTGCCTTTCAGCCGTCCGCTACATTAAGGCTCTTTCGGGTTCGACAGCCTCCCGCTACTTCAAAAGAAACATTTCTACCGCTTTAAAAAAAAAGGCAGCGCATCTCAAGCTTCACCGCAGGTTCGGGCTTGGCTGAAAAAATAAAGCCTTTTTTTTTTAAAGAGAGAAAAATCTGCATTGCTAGTACAGATGATCTAGAGATCACACTCGGCAGTACGTATCAGTGGGTGGGAAACACGGTGAGCCACTTGCTCAGCGAGGACTGTTCACTTAGGCAGTTCTCGACAGAACACAGCCACGCCTTGGACTTGTGGTTAAGAGTTCAGAAACACTACCTCGAAAACCCCACAAACAGCTACACCAATTAGTCACATCTACGGAGTTTTCACAAACAAAAACAGCATGCCTGCCAAACGGTGCGTTATTAAGCCTCCAAAACCTTCTCATTGCATTTCCTTACTAATTCTGCCCATCTAGGTATTCGGCTGTATGTGGCAACACTTGCCTTTCCTCGCTAAAACAAAACAGTCGAAAATCTTGGACTGTCTTGTCTGTAATCTCGCGGGCACAAAGGGCCTATTGATGGCAGAGGCAAAGTTGGAATGTCAATAGAACAGATCAGGTGTCTTGCGTTTTAAACTGCACAGGAAAACCCTTGACCATTATCAATCCTTTCATTTGGAGAACATGCGCGTGCTTCCCTGACAGACGCTGGATAACGATGTCGCTGCATCGCTCGTCACCTTAGTTCAAAGAAGCAAATTTTCATTTAAATGGGCCCACAAAGGAGAAAAGGAAAAGTCTGGTGCTGAACAAATTAATCCCAAATCCATTCAAGAGTTAGTCAATAGCAGGAAGTCAAATATTTCTCTGAAGTGGCCTTTGGCCTTGTGACAGACACACCTTAAAGGCTTGTAAGCTATCAAACCCACAAAACACTTTTGCAGTTCATGCGATCAAACATCCTGGCCATATCCATGATGACATCTATCTATTGTACTGCCCCGACTATGAAAGAGTGTTTAACCACAAACCTAACCTACTTCTGTTTTTTATTTTCCTCAAAATTTTATTTATTTTAAGAACCTGCATTTAAGGCTAGGCTGCCAGCTGACTATAATCCACTGACCAGAAGCCTTGAAAATCAGACCAGAAAAAAAATGGAGCCAAAATCAGACACTAAATGAGGGTTTCAGTTACTTTAAGAAAATCTCTCCCCCAGACACTTTTCACACTGCACACAGACGACTAACAACAAACAGCTAATGTGAAGTAGTAACACAGTGTGTTAAAGGGCAACACGGGCTTTGCTTAAAACTAAAGGCTTTATTTAACGTATTCATATTTTCTCAATAAAATAGCTGGGAGGTAGTCTATCAAAATCAGTCATTAAAAGGCAAAGTGAGAAGTTTCCAGCATAAAACGTATAGAATCACTCAAAACACTGGGCTCACAGTGCAAAATCTAATATTCTGCGGGTATAGTGCATAAAGGGGACCAATGAGTTGTTCAATTTCGTAAGTACTCCTGTAATCACTGAAGAATACATTTTGACGTGCACCTGTGAAATCTGTTTTGAATAAGTTCATACTATACCCCTTGCAAGCTTTAAGCAGTCATACAGTATCGACATACATTACCTAAGATCAGGGTTGCTTTAAATATTTCGAGGTGAACGTGTTTAGACAACTATCGGCACGCAAGAAATAAACCTTCAACTGTTTGATGAAGCTACAGAAAGGAAAGCACGTCCAGCAAGCGGCCAGATTCAACCATTTCAAGAATGCAGGACAAGCAGCTGCCGTCCGCCAGCCACGTCCTGGAAACACAAGTTTCCCCAGCAGTGACGGAGCACGGCTACTTCCAGGTTACATGTTGACACTGGCACATATGAAGGCATGTTCTCCCGCAACTGATGGCGAACTATATCGGCAGTTTACTCTTCAAGACGATGAAAACCGGAGCACCTCAAACACCCAACGGCAAAACGCGTGCTAACTAACACCTTACATTTCGTTTCCCCCCCAATGATAACACTATTGAACCAAGACATTTCGCCAGAGATGCCAAACCACAATTTGGGCGTAGGAATACACAAGACGTCAATCTTCAGTTTTTGAAGTCCGATTTCGTCGCATACTGTATACGCCTGTGTGGCGGTCACGCCGTTAGTCTTCACGTTGAAAAATAAATTGGCAAATTTCAGCTACTAGGAAGCGGGGGCGCCGTGGTGTTAAAAACGATTGGGCAAGAGTCGGCAAATAAGGTGCAATTTAGGAGGAGATTACCAGCATTACCTAATGTACCTGGCAGCGTGGGGTGCGTTTACATCACATTAATGCACTAAAGGTATTAAACCAGAAGATCGGCTGTACACAGCAGCCTATTTAACAGTAAACAGTCACGCTAATCAGAAAAGAGCGGTTCTCTTTTCCATACATAACTACGGATAGCTGGACAAAAAAAAACATCTTACACTTCACGTCTCAAGTTTGTGTGCATTATTTACTGGATAAATGCGGGCTACTAGTGCAGAAAAGAATCGAAAACGGAAGACCGCGTGAGCCCCTCCATTCCCTCAAATAAAAGTTTCTCAAACGAGATCCAAAACGTTACACGTATTTAAGCTCTACATGCGTTTCCCCGTCGGCGAATGAGCCATTCCTGGATTTAAATCAAGAGCCTCCAGTCGAAATATAACAAGATAAGGAAAAGACACACCCTCCGGACTAGCGAACCAGACTGATCGCGAAACGGTGGAAATGAATGGGAACAAGATCTGCCGTTTCCCTGCCGATAAGGGACGAGCCGCTGTCGGTAAAAACGCAGACAACTTTAAAGACGGGCCACATCGGGGGGGTATTTTCGAAAAGATTTTGAAACCCCGTTTTAATCCCTTCGAGTTTCGCTGCAACATTCACATTTCCTGTCTCCGGTTCCCCACACTTCCACGGGGAAAGAAAAAAAAGCCGAGGCATCCACTTCGCATCTCGGAATTACATCGCTTTCTTTTTTTTTTCCCTTTCTTACCTGAACATAATTGTTTTCACAGTAATCAGCGACCCTGGTGAGGTTCTGGTAGCTCTCCACCAGAGCTCTTTTGCCGGCTGGAATTTCTTCCTCTAACAACATCTGCAGCTCTGCCATCTTACATCTCTCTGCATTTCTTCTTCTCCTTCCCTTTGATCGAACCCACAAGCTCTGCCCCAGAAAGCTGCTCCTCCGCCTGGTATTGTGGGATTCCTGGCCTCGCTTTCGCCACCGCGACCTTTCACCAGCCGGGCTCGCGCACACGAGCACCGCCGCAGCAGGGAGACGCAGGAACCCGCAGAGGTGCACGCTGGGACCTGTAGTCTTGAAGCGAAACCTCGATGATGACACTGTCGCTATCAAGTGTGGGAAAAGACACATTTCGCGCGTGTATGTATACGTTGAGAGAGACTGGAAAGCCATTGCTGATATAGACGGTTAACTTTTACGCTTTGCGTAGATGACAGAAGATATTCTCTCTTTTCCGCCACCCCTGCTTTAACGTGATAATTGTCTTTAACTATTTGAACTGTTCTTCCTATCCGCTGAACGTCGGTGAAAAAGATGTGACTCGTATATGTATGTATGCTATACGTAATCTAAGAGTGTATTCTTAGAACTAAGCTTGATTTTAATTATTTCGATACATTCATCAGGCATTTAAAATGATGGATATTTTATGCTTGTCTAAATATCGTGAAAAAATATAAATTGTTCTTTAGACGCATGTAAGATAATTAATACATTTCCAGAAATCTTAAATCCTGTCACACGCAATTCTGTAAAAATATTATGCATAGATTGAGACTTGATACTTTATTAAGGCTGTTAATTTATTAAAATATCCTCTATATTACTACAATTCCCACAAAACACTATATTTAATAATGCATTGTGGTTTTTGTAGTCAATTTGACTGAACTCTGTTTTCTGGTACACTCGCCCGTGGCCTTAAAAAACTACAAATCCCCTGGACGTAGCGCTAATGTCAGATTTGTGTTGGTTCCTATTTAGAGACGTATTTGAGAAGTCAACGTATTTACAGTAGGTACATCATGTTTATCTAGTATTTTAACTATTTAATATACAAGGGTATGACAGGTATACGAATTTTGAGGTGTGGACGTATCTAAGTCTGTGCAAATTTGTTCTTTGTAATTTTGAACTCTTGTAACAATTTAGCCCTATGTCACGAGAGGAATGACCTGTTCGGCAAATACTGTTTACGTCTGTGTGCCGAGTGATTAATATTTAATTCTCCTTTTTAAAAGCTCAATGAAACTTTGAAATGTTGAGTTGATCAGTGCAGTAACTAACCATGTAATTATTCAATTTAGTTATAAAACCGTTTAACAAATACGTCGTTCTTTTCTGAAGACTGTCGGTACTCAAAAGTACACTTTAATCTTATATGCAGCTGGTGAGCTGCTCCAGTTCATATTTGTAATCCCCAGGTTTAAAGATTTGTCGCTGACTCTTTTGCAGCCTCTGTCATAATGGCGGATGAAAAACCAATCCACGAGCAACGATTTGATGCTGCAGTGAAAGTAATTCAGAGTTTACCGCAAAATGGTAAGTGCTTCGATTTCTGTTTTATTACACGAGACTACCTGCAAATTACTTCTGGATAATAGCACCTTGATCCAGCAGGACTTCGTGTTAGTTTTTGTTGGTAGCCGTGTGTCTGCGGAAATGAAAATCTATCTTTCATTTAAGGCATTATAGATGAAGTAAACTGAAGTTTACTGTAAACAAGTAGTAACGGGTCCTTTGTTTGGGTGCTGAAATTACAATAGGTTACTGTGTTGACCCATTCCTGTCTTGTAAGCATTTCATTTGAAAGGCAGTGGATGCAGCTACCTGTTCAGAGGAACTTTCTACTCAAATTGGATCTTTCTCCCAAATATTATATTGCAGTGCCCCTGTCTTTGCTGCTCGATAACATTGTCTTGGCTTTAGCTGGGGTTCCATGCGGTAAACGTGGTAATTTGGTGGATACAGTTTTATATATATCTATTCAATTTCGTTTTAATGAACTGGAACACCATGTGTTTCATCCCATCGGTAGAAGACGCTTGGTTATCTTTTCAAAGATTGTTTTAGCAATATAATCAACAACATTATCACATTTCACCACTCGTGATGCTGATTTGAGTAACAAAATCGCGAGAGCCCCTGGCCTATCCCTGTGCGAGAGTGTTCAATGCCAGGGCCTCTTCAGAAAATAACTATTATCTTTCCTGCAAGTTAGACAAAAGTCCACAAAAGCTAGTAAAAGCTCTAAAACATTACAATAATATATTCTTAGACCTCTTACAGAAAGCTTTGGAAGTTAATTAAAATTATGAAGGATAAGTCAATTTAGGTACTGCCAAAATACTGTTATGACAACGAAAAACACATTTAATTCAGTCACTGAACATCTCATTTATACTGATATGGTTGCGTGTTTTCTAGGTCAATTTTTAACAACAAGGCTGATTTGGTTGAATCTGTTGTGGTCAAGTTCCAGAGTCCCTTCATTTTTATTATGCAGCAAGTTACTGAGTCAATACAAACTGAACTTGGAAGACTGACAGTGATAAGACCTCTGATCACAAGGGTATTGAACCAGTTCTGATCAAATTAGACACTCATTTAATATCTACTCTGCTGTTTCATTTATTCCAACTCCTTGTAATCCTAACAGACTCAGAATAGTCCCTTGTTCTGTCTCTGTTTTGAAGAGGCTGTTAAATCAGACTCTTGACTGCTGTAGATCTGTATTCATTTTTCCCTGCCTTTCTAAGAACATGTGAAAAATTGCTCGCAAACAGTTCAGCTCTTTTTAGACAGTTTTCTTTTAGCAGATACACAGCCTGTTTTCTTTCAGGGTGTGATTGCCATCTTAAAGGTTCTCAAGGATATTATAATCACGTTGGATCAAAATCACATTTCTGCAGCCTTCTCGATTGTTTTATCTACAGCGTTTGATATGGTGAATCACTGTATACTTCCAAAAAGTTGCATTTAGGATTCATGTTGTTTATAAAATCTCTCATATGATGTTGCTATTACTTGCACAACTACAGAGTGAATATACTACTTCTGTTAATAATAAGATAGTTTGTTGCACACCCTTTAAAAGTCCATCGGGTTTCAATCACTGGTCCATACGGTCTTCTTCATGTGTGTTAGCAGTATTGCTCAGTCAAAAGATAAGTCTCTTATCTACTTATATGTGATGACCATCTTACACTTCACAGGATGCACTTTATCTTTAATGACTAATCTTCAGTTTTGTTTACACAGAATTCAGTAGGCTTTCTATAAACTTGACCTTTTTCTAAGCATTAATAAAACAAATATACTAATAAAACTAATAACAGCACTACTAAAACTGTATGCTGTGTAATAAATGATTCTTTGAACTTCTCCCTGAGTAACTTGTGCAAAATGCTTCAGGAAAGATCATGTGAGGAGCAGGTCACATTTTGTAAATATCTAGACATCTAGTGGAATAGTGCTTTAATGTTCATAATTTATATTAAGAAAATGCACGCTTAAATGTAGGTTTTGTTTCTACTCTTATTAGGCTTGATTCAGGTTTCTTTAGGTTATACTAGTTCAAATGTTTGCACTCCACATTAAGGACCATGGTGATGTTTTACAGGGCTTATAAAGCAGTTTTGGGGAATTCTGATGTCTTTCAGTACCTAGTTCTGCAGAGCGACAAGCCACCAGAGTTTTCTGGGTCGCCCTTAAAACCTGCTCTTTTTAACACTTGGAACAATTTTGTTTCATTTCCATTAGCAGGTAAACTTTATCCGTTAAGTAATCATTTGAACTGAAAATGCCAAACATCCTGAAGCTCTCGGAGATCACAGTTGACCTTTACTGACTTCACTGAACCAAACGATCTATTGAATTTACTGAATTTGTTACTGATTTATTTTTTCCCACTGACACCCCTTACCAAACACATCATTAGCAGCCATATCACTCTGCAACTCACAACTGGCAACCCACTGAAGCTAAGCAGGCCTGAGCCTGGTCAGTACCTGGATGGGAGACCTCCTGGGAAAAACTAAGGCTGCTGCTGGAAGAGGTGTTAGTGGGGCCAGCAGGGGGCACTCACCCTGTGGTTGTGTGGGTCCTAATGCCCCAGTATAGTGACGGGGACACTATACTGTAAACAGGCGCCGTCCTTCGGATGAGACGTAAAACCGAGGTCCTGACTC